CTGCTAGGGATTTAGAGAACTTGACTCGAACTCATAATATCTGGTTTTTGACTACACTTGTGTGTTTCTTTGCATTGCATTTGCATTGGTGCGCCTAGGACACCGTGTTTGCCATCTGCTATTCCTGAACGGTTTGCCGGAGGCTTGTCTTGTCAAGGCATGACCATAAGGCTGACCGGTTGTGGGCTCTGCCAGTATGGGAACACAAACCCCGGTTTTACCGGGGCACCCTCTTTGACCATTCGACCTAGTGCATATTCGGAATCCATAGTGACCATTCCATACTAGGACAGGTTGCTTACCCGTTTATAGGTTATTTTGAAACCGCTGCGTGCGTAGTGAAACCCTAGCTCCTGACACAATAGGACAGGGAAACCCTACCCCAACATAGGGGTGTTTTGGCTCTCACTTATCTGTTATGTGCTGTAAGAGTGCGTCTCTACAGGGGAAATGCATGTATCAGTTTATGAGTTTGGGCATCAGGCCTGCTGGCATCAATCAGTATTTGAGAATCAGTTATCTGCGGGTATCGGATTCAGTCTTTGGGGACAGTGATTCAGGGATAATGATCAGTGATTGAGGACAGCGTGTGTTCAGCTTATCGACTGTATGTTGTTATGCCCGGCTGTGTGTTGTGCATTTACTTTAAGCTGTTATGCTGTCCGTTTATCTGTTTATTTATTTCTTTATTGCTTTATTTATCTTTTTACTAGGGGCGTTTTAGCACAATTGCTTCCGGCCCCGTAGATATTTCCCAAGCACTTTGGACAAGAGGTCGCCGGCTCAATTGATCCGAGGATCTGGTTGACGGACAGCCAGTGTTTCATTCTCTACCCCCAGTTGTCAGAAGAAGGCCAAGAAAACGCAGTGTGTCTGACCAGAGGTCACCAGAACAGTGGTCTACCCTAGCAGTGAACAGTCGGGTTGAGGTGTCAGTTTCTTCCATAGAAATACACATACCAGTCAGTCAGCAGGATCAGCAGAGTGTAGCCGGAATAGAAGAAATGATGCGCCAGCTCCAAGAGAGCATGAAACAAATGCAGGAGGACCCTGCCCGCCAAGCAGAGTTCTCTAAACAGCAGGCCACAGTCATGGCTCAGCAGGCCGAGCTAATCACTAGACTGCAACAGCAAAATGCAGCATCTGCCTCACATCAAGTTCCTCCTCCAGGGGTCCCGTTACCCGAGTAGGCACCTACTGTCCAGAATGCCCTGCCAAACACCCGGAACACCTTGCCAAATGTCCAGAACGTCCAGGAGGACACATACCTTCCAACGGGGCCGGCTCCGCCCCCACTTCTGCCTCAACTATCCAAGGCACCTACGCCTATCAACCAACCGGACTCTCTCTTCGAGTTCGAAATAGACCAATTTTCTTCTCACATTTTGAAAATTACAAATATTTCAATTATTAAAATTTTCCCTACCACTAACCTAACAGGAAATCAAATTACTCAAATACTCTCTAATACCTAATACCAAAATGAAACTATCACACTATCCTTATTTTTATTCGCCCACTATCAAGTCCCTCTTTCTACACCGCCAAAGTGTTTAACTTCTTAAAGGTTAATATAGGCATTTCTGAAGAAAAATATTTATTACTTGTATCTTACATTATAGCATCTTCAATTAGGCATTTTATCCATCTAAAAGTTACTATAATGTATTTTTTATTTTATTTTGCCTATTCACTTTTTTATGTTTTCACTCCAATTATACTTTTTATTTTAGCTATTTATCAAAATACTACTCACTTTATGAAATGGCACATCAACAACAAAGACGGAGAAAAAGGATCATACAGGTAAAATAGCTTTTGCCTAACCTTTGAAGGATAACTATATTTATCTAATGAATGTGAGTTGAGTCAAAATGTCTAATCATATATATGGTGTATTGGAATTGAAAAAAATAAATTATAGCAGGCATTTTAACTAACATCCATTACATACCTAGTGGGTTAAAGATACTCTCATATACTCTATTAGTTTGACATAACGATTGATTAACGAAGAGGGTCATTTGTTATGTGATTAAAAATATTAAAGAGTGAGATGTAATTTCTTAAACGTAAGAGAAGAATTTGTATTTTTAATAAATCTCAAGAGATATATATTTGCAATTTATCTTAAATTTAAACTATCTATCTCAATTTGATTGTTTAAAAAATGGGAATCGTATATTAATGAGACACTTTAGAAACAATTACACTACACATGAAATTTTTTTATGTGTGAATTTGACAAGTAGATAATACTTGCTCTAAAATATATGAAAAAAAAACTTGTACCAAATATATGACAGGCTTATAGTTATGGAATTACTTTTTTTCCACTATGCCCACTTATTTGAGATTTTTTTTTTTCATTTTAAAATTAGTAGTTTATACGTGACACCCGAATTTTTAATTTAATACAATTACTCATGCATAGAATTAAAAAATAAAAAATAAAAGAAATAACAACAAAACGATGACTTATCACCATTTTAATGTATAGGATGGTGAATATGCATATAACTTAGGTGAATAAGCATATAACTTAAGTGAGTCACCTAGGTGAATATGCATATAGCTTAGGTGAATAAGCATATAGCTTAAAGCCTCGTTTGGCAAGTGCCCTTTTTAGTCAAAAAGTCAAAAAGTTACTAAAAAAATCAAAAAGCCAACAACTCATACCAAAAAGTCAAAGATTCTCTTTTCTCTTTACTTTTTGCACATCTTTTCGTAAAAAGTTAAAAAGTCATCTCAAACATACTAGTTTTTTTTGCATCACATTTTAGTCAAAAAGCCAAAAAATTACTAAAAAAGTCTGTTCCCAAATAAGGCTTAGTGAGTCACCTAGGGCAATTGACACCTGTAAAGTGAAGGCAAAACGTGCCACACAAAGACCATGCATATTCTCCCTATAAATAGTTTACGACTCTGTTTTGTGCAATCACCAAGCTGTGGAAGAAATATATATACGGGATTTAGCAAGTCAATAATAGAAAAGTGAAGGTTAAAGGTTAAGGGCTAATATTTAGGTAAGTTATATTATAGGTTGAGCTATCATAATATATTTTACGAATGTTTTGAGTTATTATAATTTTTTTTATATAATTTATGTTTTATAATTATGTTAATGTTTCAATTATGTAGATTATTTTCTAAACTTCATTTGTTTAAATTAAAACCCATGGATATGTTTGTTTAACTTTTAGAAATTATTTGACAATAATTTTGTGAACAATTATTTTCTAGTAAGTACTACCACGGGGTCTCATGCCTTGTGGGACTTAAATAACCATAGGCCCCTATTTGACTACTTTGTGATCCTCTGTTTGTCATGGATCCATTGACCATTGTTTTGATTGTCACTCTAGTGACCCTTACTCTGTTTTGTTCAGTACCGTGATTATAGCTATTTACGTAATTTTTATTTCAAATTCTGCCACTTAGATAATTTATTTATGTCACTCAAATTATGTTAATATTTTAGCTTAAATAACTATCCATGGCTTTTTCGTGCTCCTATACTCACAGTATAATATTTCTCACTCTCCTATGTGCTTATAACTGTTACCCCTTTCAGGTGACAAGGTTTAGCGGGATCAAGATGGGGTAAATCACAGTGTTTTCTTTTTTTTGTACTATCTGTATTTTTTATTAGACTCTTATAATAAATAAAAGCCCAAACTTAATAAACATTTGGCATCCAATTATTTTATTTTAATTCATTTAATTTGTCCGCTTGCACTACGATTACAAAATTATTAGAATTATTTTATTTTTATCTTATTGCGATGCTGAGCCTTTGGGTACTGAGTCTAGGTCATGACATGAGTCTGGGTCATGACATTATATTTCAATGCTTTTTAAGTATTGAGTAGGCTCAATGAATTGTTAAGAGTCAATAACGATAAATTAAAATTAAAATTAAAATTTGAAATACACATTTTATATTTCCTCGAATTCAATTTATTTGTCTAATTTAGAGAACTTAACTTATTAAGAAAATTACAACCATCACATTATAAATTTTGAAATGAATTTACCAGCACTACAGTACCCTTCTACTTGAATTTTGAAATATATTTATAATGATCTAAAATAAAAAGTGAACAAATATTTTGAGACAGATCAAAATGGAGAGGTTGACAAACAAAATGGGATGGAGGAGATATAATTTAAACAGCAGTGCTACATCCTCAATTTGCCCTGCCTCCCAAATCCTCCTAAATGAGACGGCAAGATAGAATGTAAGTTCTATACCAATTGCTGTGTTAGAAGGTGGACTAACTTTTGAAATTTTGCTTCACGTCATTCAAAAAATTTTGAGAAAAAAATTGTCTAGATTAATCATTTTTCTAATTCAAAATATTTTAAGCACATACAAATAGGGACTGTATTCTCTCAAGTTAGTCATCCAATTTATGTTTGGTAGGTTCATTTTTTAGTCGACCTCGATGATTTGAACTATTCACATTTTAGGACTCGTTGAGTAAGATATTCATATAAAAAAATAATATGATCAAATATTGATAACTATATATTTGAATCACATTTGTTTTACAAAAATAGATGACAATTATAATTTCAAGAATAATCATCTATTTTTTAGAATGCAAATGTGATTTAAATATAAAACTACCAATATCTGATATCTTATTTTTCACACAAATATTTTACTGAACAAATACTAAAAAACAAATAATTAAAATCACTAAAATCATTCTAAAAAATAAACTTGCCAACCTAAATCCTCTCTCAATTTGACAAAAGAGAATCCAATCCCATACTGATAGTATTAATGAGTGGTTATCATTTCATTTTAATATTTTAACCGTTGTCATAAGCGACAAAACAAAACCATAACGTATCTCCAAACGCGGGAAAGCCAGCCGTGTCAGTCCCAACCTTTCCCAACGGTTACTTCTTTCCCCTTCTCTGCTACCTCTATATATATACACACACCCCTAACTCACCATCACCACCATAAAACACACACACACTCTCTCTCTCTCTCTCTCTCTCTCTCCCTCCCTCCCTCCCTCCAAGAAGCTAAGCAGTGTCCATGGCTGGTTTTGCAAGAGCTGTGTCTTCTTCTTCTTCTTCATTGGTTATTCTATTGTTGGTCTTCTTGGCAAGAACCAGCTTATCAGAAGCCAGAGAGTTCTTGGTTGGAGGGAAGACAGAAGCGTGGAATGTTACTTCTTCCTCCTCTCATCACTCTCCTGATTCTCTCAATCAATGGGCCGAAAGCTCCCGCTTCCTCATTGGTGACTCTCTTGGTAATCAATCTTCCTCCTCCATTTCCAAGCTTTGTCTCTTATCTCTTCCCAATTCTAAATTTAACCCAAAAAAAACACTGTCACAGAATTAACATAATCTTGTTGTGTTCTTGTTTGGTAGTTTGGAATTATGACAGCAACAAAGATTCAGTACTGCAAGTGAGCAAGAGAGACTATGTGACCTGCAACACTTCGAGCCCCATTGCAGAGTTCAAGGACGGCAACACTAAGGTGAGACTCGACAAAGCAGGACCATTCTACTTCATTAGCGGAGCCGAGGGACACTGCGAGAAGGGACAGAGGCTGATTGTTGTGGTCATGTCTGAGAGACATAGGAGGCACTTGGGAATTGCTCCGGCACCATCTCCTGCTGAGTTCCAAGGTCCAGCCATTGCACCAACTAGCGGTGCCACCAGGTTCCAGGGCGGTTTAGTGGTGGTGACATTGGTTGTTTTGTCTGGGTTGGGTTTGATGTGGTGAGGGGTTTTGGGGGTTCCTCAATATTTTTAATTCAGTGCTATTCAATTTGATTTGATTTATATATTTGATGCATGGAGAGAAAATGAGACGTATTTTTTGGGGGCAATGATTTGATTTTCTATGTATGTGGGTTGACACTAGATGAGGTTCAGCTACACAACTAAAATTCAATATGAATTCATTTATTTATTTAATGTGCAGTGCCTTTTTATTTGGGTAAATTACAATGTCATCCTTGGAGTTTGATTTAATACAGATTTTCTCTATATTTTAAAAATTACTCTTTTCTTCTTTTTTTTCTTTTTTTTGATAATCGAGTGTCCAATTTGCACACATCTCAACTAATCTCAGAGTTTGGAAAGAAAATTATCAAAAGAGTGTTTATATAATAACAAACAACTAACCCGGTCATTTTATAAACTCATGTCATTATATTTTATCATCTCATTATCTCAACCCCCCAAAAAAATAAGTGAATTTATTTCTCATAACATCAACTGTTATTTGTTGGAACTGTTTAAAAGCGAAGAAAAAAAAAATGTTGTTTTTGTCTCAAAAAATCACTTAAAAGTGAAGTTGGAAAATGCTATGGACTCCTAAATAAATTATCAAATTTTTTACCAAACCTCTCACATGGATGAAACGCGCACACATGTGATTTGTGTGAATCTCACATCCATATAAAAAGTTTAATAAAAAATTTAATAATTTATTTAAAACCTCTCACATTGAAGTTAGTAAATGTCTGCACCCACCCAGAATGATGCACACGTACTTTTTTTAATAGTATTTTGGAATAGTTCTTTGTTATTATACAAACACTCTTTTGGTAATATGAAAAATAAAAATAAAAATAAAAATAAAAAATCCTTATCATTATATATTTCACTCGGTCAAAATAAAAAACTCACATCAACAAGAAAAATATTAAAGCAGAACTGATCAGGAAACAACCACAAAAGCTCTTGCAAGTAGCAACACATGATTTTGTGTTTAATTTTTATAATTGATTGTGCGTAGCTCAATTGCATTAGCAACGGTCAATTCTAAAAATATAAATTATAATCCTCTTATAAATAATTACAAGATAAAAAATTTATAAATGATCTCACAAAAATTCTCTCCCTCCTCCCTCCCCCCCCCCACCCCCGTCTTAAGAAAAAAGATTGAGAGCTCTAAATTAAGAGCTCTAATAGCTCTAATTGATGTGTAAGTCCCATGTGATGTGATGTTTTGACTTTGGTTTCTTTTTTTCTTTTTTCTTTTTTCTTTTTTCATTTTCCACATCATTAGTGCTCTTTTAGAGCTCCCAAATTAGAGGAATGTATCATTTCTGCAAGTCTCAAAGAGCATATCATAGTTTGAAAGGGCTTTAATTATGTTGTTACATGCAAACCCATCAATATGGGCACTTCTGAAGAAGAATTCTGAAGAAGAATGAAGACGGTTACAACCCGACCACTACATAACTAATGATGATGGATCAATTTTCGCGAACAAATGAATAAACATAAAATAAATGAAAATAACCCAATGCTCAAGACTTCGGCTAAAGTAGATTGGGAAGGGAAGAAATGACCAAATTTATTCTGAATATATATATATATATGTATATATAAACTGAACTGACTGAAACCACATGAATTATTGAAATCAGCTATTCATGAAGTTCAAAATTGATTGCATGACTGCAACAGTTCTGTTCCAGCAACCTCTCACAATTTATTCAGGGAGACTCCTCAACTTTCCTTTTTCTCACTAATGTTCTTCCCTATATCAGTTATTGTTAAGTTCAATTTTGGTTGATCCCCAACAAATGCATAGAGTGCAACTCCAAAGCTACTCATGCATAGAGAATTTTTTGGCACAGGCTCGGGTTTTGAATTGGATACCCAAAAGGAGTTATACGCACATGTGGATCCATTTGCCAATGACAACCCAAATTTAAAACCTAAAGACTCTGGAAATGCCAACAAAACCAAGTAGTTGTGTTGCATAGGCAGTCTGGACTATGGAAATCAGTACAGCCAGGTAAGACAACTACTATGATCTCTAAATCGGTTACGATCAAAATACTGAAAGTGACTTTACAACACCTCTATGAAAGTTCTAGAAGCAACAAGATACTGTTTTGCAGGAGGGAAAAAAAAAAAGAAGAAGAAAAGCAAACACCACCTTTAAACTAGGGAAAACGCCAACAGTAGCATAAGAAATGATATGCAGATGCTCCATATGCAACCTTTACACTAGGGAAAATGCCAACAGTAGCATAACAATGCCCCTCAACTGAAATTTCGTCACCAACATTAGAACATCTGCTCCATATGATTCTGCTAGAGAAGAAAAAAGAAAAAAGAGAATTGTCAGAAAGCAGATTATAACTAAAGCTATACAAGTCCTCAACCACAAATACCATTTAAATGCAAACTTTCAAGGTTAACAGAAATTGGAAAGACAAAACTCCACACTTTTCATGCTGACTAGAAGTTCAAAAATGATTTGTAAAGGAAAACAAAGATGAGAAAAAGGTTTATAAATTCAAAAACATGTATAAATTTGATGTTACCTAGCCACAATGACTTACAAAGAAAAAAGAGATGAGAAAAAGGTATAAAATTTTAAGAAACATGTATAAATTTGATATTACATGCCGCAATGACTTTTAAAGAATAAATAATGAAATTTTCGTGACGTCGATACGGATGTGGTTTTGCCCATTGAATAGGATTGATTAATTTATTACACAATTATTAATAAAGCATAAAGTAAAGCAATCACACACAACAAGACGTGCAAATTCCAACGGTAAAAACCACGGGAACATAGCCAAATCCATGAGCCTTAGGTGTTGAATCCACAAGCTTGCGGGTGTGCTGCTTGTACTGAACGAATCCATGATCTCTTTCTTCAATCGATGATTGAGTGTCGAGCCCACGATACCTCTGGAACCCACCACGAACTGAACATGATCCACTAAAGCCTTGGAATCCACCAAAGTTCTCACAAACTCAAGAAATAATGATATGTAGAAAGCTTAGAAAATAATCACTAATAAGCTCTGCAGAGTAACGCCTCTTCAAGAGATCTGTCCAAGCATGTAAAAGTCTCCCACAGGGTTCTGTATTTATAGATGGGACAATCCTTGAAGTCCAAACTGTATTCTGGCTCAAACGGGGAAATCAGAACCACGCAGAACACTTGCAAGTTACAATACTCCGTCAAGTAGATAAAAACAATCATCAAACCATGAGAAGCCAGCTCGAGCTGGTATACATAGCCTCTCAAGTGGCCAATAACAATTTGTGCATTTAAAGCTTGGAGTTCACAAATAAAATGCATGGTCAGCATTGTCCCCCAAATAGCCTAACAATTCCATTTTATTTGTAATAACGTGAACATGATTAATGAAAGGCAAAAATGTCAAATAGACCCTTTCTTTCTTTCTTCATTTTCTTGCTATTTTACTTCCCGAATCCAATTATACCTTGCATATATATATATATTTTGATAAACAAAAGCAATTTTATTGAGAGCAGCATCAAGCTGATGCTAATGAAAAGAATACAAAGAAGAACCACAATATGGGGGGAAACCCCCTAACCAATCAAGTCATCCAAAAAATCTAAAAAATGAACACATCCGGATCCACCCTTCCCTCAACCCAACTGCACAAAACTACTAACAGCTGATACTCTAATCAAGAATTATCCATTGTATATATTACATACATACATATACATACTATTACATACTAATGCTAGTAGAGAGGGAGGGTGGTTGTAGTGGATTTAGTAGAGAGAGAAAGGGTGGTGATGGTGGGCTTTTGTAGAAAAAGAAAGGGTGGTGTTGGTGGGCTTTTTTAGAGAGAAAAATGGGTGAGGTGGATTTTGGTAGAAAGAGATGTGATAGGGTGGTAATGGTGGTGGGGATGGTGGGTGGTAGCAGGAGGTGATGGCAGGTTGATAATGGAAGAGAAAAAATGTGAAGAAAGAAAAAAAATATTGTATAGGGTTCCAAAGATCATTTTGCTACTGTAAATTGATATAAAAATAAAATAAAAATCCTATGTGTATCCATTACTATGCATTAACCATGCCAAAAGAACAACAATGATAAGATCGCAAATTATTATTCCCGTGCAAAACAAAACATATCACAGGTCTGGCTTCCTACAAATGAAACAAAAAATTGTTTAAATGAAGATTAGACAAAAACAGAAAAACAAGAAAGAAATGAGAAAGGTAAAGATCTGTTCGAAAGGAAAAATACATGAAAAATGGGGAGGAAAAAAAGAATGAAAGGAAAAGACAACCCTACATTGCAACACAAGCAAATGGAAAAACAAAGCTAAGATGGCACACCGCAATGTTCCTTACGTGGGTTCCAGCCTATGTCACATGGACTATTCTACATGTATAAAGTACCCGTGTTGAACACTCGACACCTAGATAAGGGCATGACATATATGTTCAACATGTATAAATATTTACATAGCAAGCATATTTAGTAATTCAAATTTACCATGAAAACCTATCAATAAAACCTGATATTATGCATGAAATGCTCTATGAACCTTGTGAACACCATTTTAACCTAAAAATTAAAACAGGTATATTAAGAAATCCTTGGTCATGGGAATTAGATGAATCGGCCACGTAGACACATACCTACACTCAACACCGGTACCCAGCCATGTAATATAGGTTCCAGCCATGGAAATCATCAACCCATGAATGCAAGGGAGTTGTTACCTGAGCCGCACAAAAATAATAGTATCATATGCATAAAGTGAGACCAGTTAAGATCCATCAGGTTGTCCCATGTCAAAGCATACAAGGAAGCCCCTACAACTTTTTCTCAATCATTCTGTTGAAAACTTCCATATCTAAGATAAAAGGCAGAGGAGACGAAGGATCTCCCAAATGCAATCCCCTAGAAGTATTAAAAAAAGCCAGTTGGAGAGCCATTAAGTCCTCGTTTGGGAATAGGCTTTTTTTAATAACTTTTTGACTTTTTGGCTAAAATATGACGTAAAAAAAACTAGTGTGTTTGGGATGACTTTTTGATTTTTTACGAAAAGATGTGCAAAAAGTAGAGAGAAAATGAATCTTTGACTTTTTTTGTATAAGTTGTTGGTTTTTTGATTTTTTTAGTGACTTTTTAGCTTTTAGGCTAAAAACTGATGTTGCCAAACGAGGCCACTAACAACCTAACTGTGTCGAGATACAATATCGAATCCAGCCTCTCTACTAATCACCAAACCCCAACATATACCAATTTTGATACTAAAATTGTCCTTTTATAGCCACCAACACTACAACCAAAATCTACCTTCCGAGGACTTACACACCACCATAAGCAACACAACTTTTAGGCAAGTAGCAAGAACTTTTGTCAAAAGTTTCTATCCCTTCCAATCATGCCCAAAGGACTAAAGTCTCTAATATCCTCCCTCCTCCTCCCCCCTCCCTCTTCTTGCAAATTGAGGACGAAGGCATTAAATCTCTATTTTCCATTGTTTGGTTGGTTAAAAAAAGTAACCAATAGTTTTTAAGTAAGATATTTTTCATCAAAGGACAAAAAACAAATTACATATTACAAACCCGCAAGTCATTTTGTATATCTCACTTGATGTTTTGAAAACCCCAAAATGGTGAAGGTTGCTCTTGCTCAACCCTTCGAAAGACCCGAAAAGAGTGAGGGCAAGAGAGATGGTGAAACATTGCATCGTTGTTTCATTCGCTCTTGTTTGAGGAGTCATCGGTGAATCACCAATGATTGTTTTCTGACTACATTGCGCTTCATCGGGTTTTCTATTGATCTAGGGTTCATATTCTATCTCACTATTTTATTTTGTTTGAAGCAACAGAGCATATGGTCACGAATCGTGAGGTTGCTTAATCTCATATTCAGATCTAAACTCTTTCAAGGCCTCACTGATTTCTTAATCTAATATTCAGATTTGAGTGCTCTCTCTTGCATATGTATATTTATACAAACATACATAGTTGATTTGAAGAATTGATATGAACTGGGTTTTGAGTTTGTGGTTTTTGTTGCTTGTGTTTAATCAAGTTAGGATTAAATATTTGTGCGGCTCTGTATTAGGTTCTAGGAGTTTTAGGCATGTTTGTCTTGTACATGCATATAACTTGTATCTTTATCAAATGTTTCCAGTTTGTGTCATATACTGTTTTGTGGATGTGATAATAGTTTGACTATTTTGATATTTTCTTGTGTTTTCCCCTCATATAATTGATACTGCCAATTAATGTTTGTATGTCCCAGAAAGCTGGCATTTGACTGTATTGTATTTGGTCACCAAGCAAGCATTGTTAGTTTATTATTCATATATGGTTTACTCTTCTTCAATAATCCAGTATCTAGAAGTCTGGTCATTCGAGTGAATCATTGATGATGTTTTTAGGCTAGGACCCAATATTGCTTGTTGCCTTAACACTCCTTATTCCAAGATTCTAGCATCCACGATTACTTTGTTAAGCTTCAGTCTCTTAAAATTTGAAACTAGTCATGACCACTATATTCTTGTTGGTCAATTCATATAAGAACCTAGAGGATGCCTATGGAGATGCTATAGAAGTTGAACTTTATTTGGTAGAAGAAGATCAACTTAATAATTGTCTTGAGGTAATTATGCAGTACCTAACATTGAATCATCACCTATGGTGACACTTGAAGAACAGTCCATTGGTTTTGTGTCCTTGCCTGCTATTCCAGATCCGCTAGATTTTAGTATGGACAATCCCCTCAATCCATTCACTCTGTTACTTTATCCGATTACACGCTTGAAGTTAGTAGCACTTTAGCTGATATTCTATATTCTCTTAAACATCAGGGCTTGCATGTGACTTTGGTGCACCCCGTGTCTAATTCATTCACATATTTCATGTTGACATCTCATGGGTGTATTGTTGTCATTCTTGAATATAGACCACATGCATATTTTATTCACTCTTTTTTTTATTTTAAATATTGGCTCAATATTTCATATGGAGAATATGGTACTACTTGATTGAGGAACCTTGCAGCCTATTGTTTTGTTTGATGGTGTTTCTCCAAGAATTGTTGATGCTTGTCTACTACCTACTTATGTAATTGCTTCTTGTCAGTCCTCTGTTGGATTTCTTATGATGGATGCGATCAAGGGTCAAAATGTTGTTTTCAGGCATAAGCTTCATTTCCTAGATGACTTCTCTTACTCTCCGAAGAGTTTTTCGCAGCTGAGGAGAAATGATGCGAATAGAAAAGGCATTGGATGAGGAAGGATTTGGAGATTTTCAGAAAGATAAGGATTTTAGAAATTGTTACATTATTATAATATTACTTAAGATTTCACTATTCTTATTTTATTTTGGAAATTCTTACTTAGGATTTTTAATTATTGCCATGTTTTATTTTGGAAACTCATTAATTAGTGTCTTCTTGGTTGCCCATAAATAAGCCATTATGTAGTAAAGTTTTTTTAGCATTTGATGATGAAATTAAATTGAGAGAATTTCTTTGTTTTTTAGGGTTATGGTTTATTTTATTTGATTGGATCATTCCTTTTCCGTTATGTAATTTGTATTCTCAGGCCATCCTACATCAAATGCATGTCTCATTCTTCTATAGCCATTGCCATGCAACTAGCTATTTTGGTTTGGTGGAAACAACTAACCCTACACAAAAAACAAAATTTCCATTTGTTTCATTGAAACAACCGTAAAGTTTCCACTTCGTAAGAGACGCAAATGAAACACTAGTGGAATAATGAAATTCTAGTGTTTCCATCAAAACATAGAAAAACACACCAAAACAAAATGCAATATGCTGAAATAAATAAGTTTTGACGACATGAATTTAGGATTTTTTATAAATGCTTTTATAATTTGTTTTCAAGAATTATATATATATATATATAAGATTGGATTTTACCATATTAATAAATATTAGAAAATGCTAGTGTTGGAAAATGGGTAAAAAGTGTATTGTAATGTGTGAAAAATGTATAAAAATATGTATTTTGGGATATGTGTAAGTGTATTGGGAATTTGGGATTATAAATATTTTTGCATTTTGCATTCCTTACTGACAACCCTTAGGGTTGTCATTAGCAGGACCCATAAATAGTATAATTAGTAACATAGTAATGTGAGAATAATATGTAAATATATTAGATTGATTGTGTGAACATTAGATTGATTGTAGAATATAGTTTTATTCTTATTTCCTTTTTAGATTAGGTCTATATAACTTAGTTGTACCTTTGTATTATGGACACAATTGAATATACAGAATTCATTCAGAAAACTTA